AAGGACTGCTCTGATCTCCTTGGGCCACAGGGCACTTGCTAGGCCCCTTTAGACCAGTAGAACTTCTCCTGCCTCCCCTGGGCTATGCCTTTCCCTTTGTGTCCCTGGCTCTGTGATGAAGTGTTTTTATTTTCATCTTAAAAGGCCACCTAGTTAATAGTGAGCTTAATCCCAGCACAGCCAGGCATGTAGGAGCCTCAGTCTCCTCATGTGTATCCCAGTGGCAGCCATGCCCACTGCCCAGGTGGAAGACAGAATGGGGTGGTGCGGAGTGTGGCCCAGCACAGGCCAGCACGTGGTAGAGACTATTCACAGGCTGTGCCAGGGCAGTCTCTGAACCTGGGACACAGCCACAGAGCTCACTGTCAGGGCTGTCTCCGGTACACTGCGTGGGAGGAGTAAGGACAGAAGCAGTCCTAGACGGGCACCTGGTCACTGTGGATTCAGAAGCATGGGGTGGTGGCCCATGTGCCTGTGTTTGCCTGTGGGAGCTCTGCTGCCTGGACCTGCCATTCATTTGTGTTTCCTAGAGAAACCGGCTTCCTGCACACTATAGGTGCTCCTTTAAGGCAATTCCATGTGTGAGCACATATGTAACAAGGCCACTGTGGGTCCCCAAAGGTGCTGTGGGAACTTGGGGGAGGCATGTCACTTCTCTGGGCCTTGCTTTTCTCATCTGAACAATGGGTATGCTGATTCCTGCCTGGTGCAGCTGTTCTGGATACAGCAGCTGGCCCCCTGGACAGCACACAGGAAGTCAGGGGTCCCGTGACATCTGCTTCCTTTCCTCCACCCAGTGCAGAGGTTTTCCTCAAGTTGGCTTGGGGTCTGCTCCAGGGAAGAAGGGAGGGGAATGGTGGGACACAGGATGAGCAACACTGATGCTCTCTGCAGATGGAGGCAAGGCAGGGCTGGTCACAGGACACCAGCACAAGGTGACTTCTGGCCCCCCTGCAGGTCTGCAAGAAATCAGGCAGAGGGCTTTAGGGTACCCCAACCATCCTGGCTTCCTCTCTCCTCCCCCTTTGCCCTCCACCATGTCCTGGCATGGGAGGTGGCTGGGTTACAGGCCTTGACCATGCTTCTCAATGAAAGAAGTCAAAGCTGGCCTGTGCCCATGGAGGACCTCGACCTCCCAGTGCTGCCTCAGGAAAAGCCGAGGAATAACTTACTGGGTACAGGGCTCCCTGCACTGCTCCCTTGAGGCCAGGCCTCTGGCCCCTGCAGTGGGTATTGGGCAAGTAAAGCAGAGAGCTTGGCCTCTCTCAGGGTTACCTGAGGCAGGCTGGGCCCAGGGTTGGGCCCCGGATCGAAGTGGTGACAGCAGCCTGTTTGTGGCAGGACAGTTTGCACTTCCCAGGTGGTCGCTGAAAAGCCACCACTGAGGGAAGAGCCTCTGTGATGACATGGGCCTCTGGCCAAGGTCTGACAGCCATCTGTTCCTGGCCTCCAGCCTGGAGGCCTCCAGGGAGGGAGAATAAGGGAAAGAAACAGAGAGAAACGGGACAGAGAGACAGAGACAGAGCCAGGGAGAGAAAGACACTGAGAGACAGAGAAACAAAGAGAGACAAAGAGACACTCAGACAGAGAGAGATACAGAGGCAGAGGGGAGAGAAAGGAGGAAAAGGCACAGAAAGAGATATACAGGGTGGAGCAAAAGTAGGCCTACAGTTGTTGGTATGGAAAATAATACAATAATTAATAAAGAATAATGTAAGGATAAACTTGTGTTTCTCACAAATGTAAGCCTACTTTTGCCCCACCCTGTATACAAGGAAAGAGAGAAAAGAGCAGACAGAGAAAGAGAGAAATAGGGGAACCAGAAGAGACAGAGACATAGGGAGAAAAGTAGAAGGCAGGCGCCACACAGACAGAGAGACAGAAAGAAAACAATTGAACAGAGATGCAAAGAGAGCAATTAACAGACAGAGATGAGAGAGAGGGAGAGGTAAGGGACAGAGACAGAGACAGGGAGACACTAGAGAGAAACAGAGAATCAGAGAGACAGGAGGAGATGCTCATGGGGAGAGACAGCAAGAATCAGGGAGAGAGAGAGAGAGATAGGCAAAGATATTCCTGGAGAGAGATAAAGAGAGTAAGGAGAGGGGATATGAGCTGGGGAAGCTGGGTCTGTGGGGAAGATAGATAAAGATGCTCTGGTCAGGCTCCTGGTGGAAGGAGAACCCTCATGAATCAAGGTCCTTTCAGCCTTAGCGCATTCGGGGGACGTCATCACACTTGGTCCTGGGCCCCTTGGCCCAGGGTCCTGACATTTGTTTTCAGATGTTAGTAGGCAGCAGAATCACTGGGGGACGTAGTCAAGTTCATGTGCCAGTACCATTCCCAGAGTTAGATATACTGGTCAAGGGAGGCTAGGAATCTGCATCTCCAGCAGGCTCCCCAGGAGATTCTTTTGTGGGGTAGCACCAATCACAGTCAGAGATGCTGTGCAGGAGAAGCCAGGGTCCCTCTTTCCTCATTCCTGTTGTCCCCACACTGTGGGCCCCTGGGCAGGCAGGGGACAGGGCTGGGAGGGCTCTGAGGAAATTTTCTCCACAGACCTGGAGGTTTCCTGCATCTTTTGTTTCATCATCCAATGACCTCCAGGAAGAGTTGGGGGCCCTTTGCCAACCCCCAGATGGGCAGACTGGGAGGCACTTATGGGTCATGATTCAGCCCTGGCCACTCTGTGCAGGTGAGAAAGCTCAGTGGCTGGGCCCAGGCAGTAAAGGGAACATGGTGTGTTAATTTATCAAGCTCCCGCTCGGGCCCAGGCTCTGCGCTGAACATTATTTCACTTCCTTCTCTTAACTAGGGTCATCACTGACTACCTCAGGGTGAAGGCGTGGGGCCCAGAGATGACGAACAGCACGCTCAAGGTCACAGTTCACCTATCTGCTCCTTCTGGTCTCTTACTCCCTGCTGGTGAAAGTTCACCCCAAAAGGCATCCACTTCCCTGCCCTTCCAGGTTGTTACTGGCTCCTCCTATTGGAGCTGTTGCAACTCCCACTGTGGTGGGCGTGAGAGAGGCGGTGCCAAGCCCAGCCCTCACCCCCTGGGAAGGCAGAAAGGGTGGGTAGTATTAGGAGACAAAGTGAAGGCACCACAGGTTCTCCTCTGATCAGATGTGGAGTAGACAACAAAAATATACATTACACAAAAAAATATACATTAGACAACAAAATATACATTGGCCTGTGGTTAAGTTCACATTGGACTTAGAAATAGGCAGACGTGGGTCTGGGAACACTCACTGTGTTTTCTTACCACACCAACACACTGCTGACACAAGATGTGTAGGGTTTCTGCACCAAGCAATTCTGACACTAACCACCTGGAGCTAGTGGAGATCCCACAATTTAAAGGCTCAGTCCCACAAGACTGCCCCCCCGACCCCCCACTTCAGGTACCAATCAAAAGCACTAGGTCTCCAGGTTGCCCACACTTTCCATCTGACTTGGTTACAAAAAGGTTTCCACTACCCCTTCCTCGGGTTTAATAATTTGCTAGAGTGGCTCACAGAACCCAGGAAAAGAGTTTACTTACTACTGCTGATTTATTACAAAGAACATTTTAAAGAGTCCAGATGAACAGCCAGGTGAAGAGATACACAGGGCAAGGTCTGGAAGGGTCCCAAGCTTGGGAGCTTCTGTCTCTGTGGAGCTGGGGGGCACCACCCTCCTGCACATAGATGTACTCACCAACCTGGACTCTCTCCAAACCCCATGTTTTGGGATTTTTGTGGAGGCTTCATCACACAGCCATGATTGATTATTAACTCAGTTTTCAGCTCTTCTTCCCTCTCTGAAGGTTCTAAGCTTCCTGTCATGCTTGGGCTCTCTGGTGACCAGCCCCCATCCAGGAGCCCACCAAGGGTCAGCTCATTAGAACACCTGTCTTTCTACCACTCAGGAAATTACAAGGGTTTTAGGAGCTCTGTGTCAGCAACTGGGCTCAAAGGCCAAATATTATCAGGTAGAGATGATTACTTCACAACTTTACAATATGAAAAACCCAGTGGAACACCCATGAGTCTGCTTCACACATGTGTCTGTCTAGCAACACATCCTGGAAGGGGATTCCCTGGCTCCAAATGTGGTGGCCAGCAAACTTCATGCTCCAGCCACCGAGGAAGGGCTTACAGGGAGCTTCCCAGTATCAGAGCACAAGCCTCTAACTAGACCCTCCTGATGGAAGCACCAGGGACTGGAAGTGTGTGTGGGACCGGGGACTGCACTGCAAGGCTGCCTTGGAAGGAGGAGATTGGGGCCTATAAAAACGTGCACTTTGCAGACTCTTGAGGTGCTCTGATCTGCTGCTTCTCATGTGACTCTGGCCAGAATATGGAAGGGAGGAAGCCATGAAGCCATGAAGCCCATGACCATGGGCATCCCTCTCTGCCCAGCTGTCCAGCTCAGCAAGAGGAGGAAGTTGAGGATTGAGAAAGGCTGTCCAGGTGTGAGCCAACCAGGAAGGGAGCTGCCAGGTGGCCCTTGGTCTCCAGGGGTTGGGCCCGCCCAGAGCAGGAAGCAGAACTAAGAGGTGGCATTATGAGTTCACTGCCTCCTTGACCTTCAAGACAAGCCAAGAACACATCCCAGAGCTGCTTTTAGCAAAGAGGGCTTTCCACACCTTCTGAATGGCTTTCTGCCTGAGTGGTGTCCAGTTAACTCTCCTGATAAAATCATTTCTGTTTCTTTTTTTAACTGAACTCAACGGCTCTTTAGGTAGACTGTCAATCACAGCTTGTAGATTTTCCACTACTCTCTACTCTTTCTGTGGACAGGTACCTTTGTCATTAAGCCCATCTTTATTTTTTAAATTTTGATTTATTTTTTATTAAGGTATAGTTGACATACAAAATTATATTAGTCTCAGGTGTACAACATAGCAATTCCACATTTATATACCTTACGGTGTGACCCCCACAATAAGTAATAAAGTACATCTTATTGCCACATTTCTATCAAGAGACCATCATTTCCACTTCCATTTTCACCGCCACCTTCACCACCTCCACCACCTCCACCACCATCTCCATCTCACTTCTACCTCCACCACTGTTACCATCTCACCTCCACCTCTACTACCACCTGCCCATCACTATTTCCATTTCTACTACCTTCACTTTCACCCTCACCACCAAGGAAATGTGTTCTATGTCTCAGAGACACTCAGTCTTCAAAGTAACTGGTAATGAAAGGAGTCAGGCTGTGCAGTCAGAGGAGAACACACCACGCATTCAGAGCAGCAGTCCTTTCCCTCCTCTTTGTGAGCCTGTTCTTGGGGTTCTGGTTAGATACGGTGTTGGAAAGATGTCTTGGCTTCCCCTCTACCTACTACTCTGGCCCTGATGCTTGTGGCCCACATAATGCAAGGGTATGGCAGTGCAGTAATGCCTGGGGGCCCTGGGCCCAGCTTGCTCGTCAGCTGGTTTGCATGGTATGGCTGCACCAGGCTGTTGATAACTGCCATCTGATCTGATTGATCAGCCCCTGTGTGGTGTGCATTGGTGTTAAGCATTTTGCACAACACCAATTCTGACCCAGGCTAACTGGGACTCAGTACAGGTTATTTACTAATGGGGCTGATGGTGATCTCAGTCATGACCAAGCCCTTTAGTTATTGTTCCATGGTTCCTGGAGGACTAAAATAACTGGGTAATTGGATCAAAGGTCTTAAGTAAAAATAGAACCAGTGCATGTTAAAAAGACAGAATTTGGGGACTGGCAAATCATTTCTGCGTACAAGAAAGGTTTTTAACTATTACCAAATAGATAATTGAAATCAAACATGATTTTTGAGGAAGCCTGGCTGGATAGCTCAGTTGGTTGGAGCATCATTCTGTGCACCAAAATGTCGTGGGTTCAGTTTCTGCTCAGGGTACATACCCAGGTTGTGGATTTGATTCCAGGTAGGGGGCATGCACAGGAGGCAACTGATGATGTTTCTCTCACCTCGATGTTTCTCTCAATCTCTCCCCCTTCCTCTCTCTCTCAAATCAATAAAAACATATCTTCAGATAAGGATATGGCGTGTGTGCATATATATATATATATATATGATTTTTGAGGCTCTCAGCTATTTTCACAGACAATTTTGTAAGTTGTTTGCCTCTAGTATGAACACACTCCTCAGCCACACACAATTGGGTGACATCTAACAAAGTTGAAATGTGTGTGCCCCATTTTCCAGTTTAGAGGATTTCAAGGTTGTTATTACAGCAGAGTTTGTAAAACTTACAAGCTGGAAAGTGTCCATGGTCGAGATGGTTGTACAAATTGTGGTGTCCTCCCACACTGGAATTCCATACGGCAGTTGCCACGGATGAACTAGATCTTCATAGAATCATATGGACATACGGGTAAACATTTGCAACACAAAACTAAATGAATAAGCTAGGGTTGGAAGGATATTATAGTATGATATCACTTAGATACAGGTTTAAAACATCCAAAACAATGTGATGCATTGTGTATAGACATATATGTGTGTGGCAAAAATTTTAAAAATGAATAGAATGTGCCACTATGTGAGGATAGTGATTCCTCTGTGGAGACAGAGAGCTGGAGAGGGATTCATCTGTAATAGTTTACTTTCTTTAAAAAAATGATCTGAAGCAAACATAGAAAAATGTTAACCTTTGTTCACTCCCAGTGGTGGGCACATGGGTATTTGTTATATTATCAACTGTATTTTTCTGTGTGTTTGAAATATTTCATCCTGGAGATAATGCATCTGAAAAGGAAAGGGAAAACATAGAGTCCTGCATTTGTGGAAGTGTTTAAACAGAGTCTGTACAAGTGTCTTCTGGGTGCAGTGGTGGTGCCCGGAGGTTGCACCAAAGCCTTAGAAATCACTTAAAAGGGTGTGAAAACTTTGCCCTGACTCTCAGCCCTTATGGAACATCACAAGTGGTGGGGTCATCCCTCACTCTCTGAGCCAGTTTCCTGATCTATGAAATGGGGTGCTGTGAACTGAGGGAGGCTGGGTGCCTGGATGCTGATGGGGAGTGTGGAGCTATGCATAGTGAGTGTGACCTAGGCTGGTAGGAGGAGTTCATTGGAACCTCCAGTGACAGGTTGTCCAATTGAGTAATACTTAAACAAGTGTGTAGGGCTCAGTATTTAAACAACCTTTGAAAATGATGTCCCTGTCTCTTCAAGGACCACAAACACCCCTCTGTATAAAAAGGGTGCACTAATTACATCACTAAAGGTCTAGAAATAAATCCATACATCTATGGTCAATTAATTTTGACAAGGGTGTCAAGACAATTACATGGGGGAAAGAATCGTCTTTTTAACAGATGATGCTGGGGAAACCTGATATCTATATGCAAAAGGATGAAATTGGATCCCTGCCTCACACCATAAATGAAAATTAACTAAAAATGCTTCATAGACTTAAATGTAAGAGCTAAACTATAAAACTCTTAGAAGAAAATGTAGGTGTACATATTTATAACTTTGGGTTTAGTTTTTTAGATAGGACACAGAAATCATGAGCAATCAGAGAAAAAAATAGATAAATCAGACTTCCTCAAAATTAAAAAAATGTTTGGGCTGCAAATGACACTATCAAGAAAGTGAAAAGAGTTCACAGAATAGGAGAAGGTATTTTCAGATAATATATCTCATAAGGGACTATATCTAGAATATATAAAGAATTCTTATAATTCTGTAATAAAAAGATAACTCAAATAATGGGCAAAGGATTTGAACATACATTTTTCCAAAGAAGATGCACAATGATCAATAAACACATAAAAAGGTGATCAGCATCATTAGTCATTAGGGAAATGTAAAGCAAAATTACAATGAGATATCACTTCACACCCACTAGATGGCTGTAATAAAAAAGGGAGATAATAAGTGCTGGTGAGGATGTGGAGAAATCAGAAGCTCATACTTTGCTGGTGGGAATTTAAAAGGATGCTGTCATTTTGGAAAACAGTTTGGCAGTTCCTCAAAAAGTTAAACATTGGATTACCATCTGACCAAGCAATTCCATTCCTGGTATATACCTAAGAGAATTAAAAACATGCTCACACAATAACATACGTGGATGTTCACAGTAGCACTATTCATAATAGTCGAAAAGTGGGAACATGCCAAATATCCATTAACCGATAAGTGGCTAAACAAGCTGGCTAAACATAAGTGGCTAAACATAGCCACATCGTGGAATATTATTTTAGGCATAAAAAGAAATGGAGTACAGGCACATACTCCAACATGGGTAAAAAAGTTATGGTGAGTGAAAGAAGCCAGATACAAAAGGCCACACATTTTATGATTTCCTTTATATGCAATGACCAGAATGAGCAAACACATAGGGAAAGAGAATACATTAGTGGTTGCTGGAGGCTTTAGGGGGTAAGGGGGAGTGACTGCTTAATGGGTACAGGTTTTTGGTGCGGTGTGATGGAAATATTCTGGAATTGGTGGTAGTTGCACAACCTTGTAAATATAGTTAAAATAATTATGAAGTGTAATTGCACACTTTCAAAGGGAACATTTTATGATAAGTGAATTACATCTCAAGTTTTAAGAGAAGACTAGGAAAGGTGAATCTGTTTGAGAATGGGGTCGATGGAGAGGAATCAGGGACGGGAGAGGCGCAGAGAGAAACCAGATCCTGTGATTAGGGCTTGAGCCCTATATCCGGTTGTGCCGGAAGTGAGACTGCCTTGGAATGTTTCAGTTCCTTGAGCCAACAGATTCTCTGCTTCTTAGGTCAGGGTAGATCAGGTTTTCTGACACTTACCCCCAAAGGAGCCCAGGCTGGCATGGATGCCCTCTGACCTTCCGGGGGCTGCACTTTTTCCTCCAGCTTCTCCACCTCTGCCTCAATTGGCTCCTGGTTCATGCTTCTTTCTTTTAAGAAATAATTGTCCCCTGACTTCACTCCACACCTGTTTCTTGTTCTCATTTCACTCAAATCTTCCCAAGAGTGGTCCACACCTGCTACTCTGCTTCCTGGCCATCCCTTTCCCTCTTAACCCTCTGCTTCTGGGTTCCTGCCCCACACTCCACGGGCGCTCTACTGCCCTCCTGTGGCCAGTCCCCACACGTCCTGCCCCGAAGGTCTGGGTCCTCCACCTGGAGGGCTACTCATCCCTGGACGTTTGTGCCTCCCCTGAACCTGGGCTGGGCCTTTGCTCTGATTCTGCTCCCTCTCCCTGGGCTGCTGCCTCCATGCTCGAGTCCCCACAACTGGACTCCTGCTTGTGCTTCCTACTTGTTTTCCTCTCACCCCTTTCTCTTTCAGAGGTCTCAGCACAAGTTGTCTTATAGCTTCACGAAGAGAGCTGGTGGCCTGCGGGCCATTAAAAAATACCACCATTGATAGCCATGCCTTTGGAAATACCATCTTTTTGTGGGGGACATGATATTTGACTCAAAAGGAAAAAGAAATGTTTTAATTTTCACTTACTTGGTGTAATCACAGTTCACATACTGCTGCTGCTTACTTGCTTTATCTCATTGGGTCCTCCCTACCTTCCTATGAAGTGTTCAGGACAGGTTAGCCTCATTCTACTGGAGACAGCTGAATGCCAGCAACAAAAGGAACCTTGCCGTGGCCCCGCAGCTCGTTAGGACCAGGCTTGCTTGTTCTGCACTTGCACTCGTCCCTCTCTTGATGTGAGCATTCAAACGCTATCTGGCCAACAAGCTGGCCCAGAGGACAATGCCTTTCAGCTGGTGGGTGGCAGAAGGAGCCCTGTGATTATGTCTCAGCAGCATCCAGGGTTCTGTTCCCACACCGTGCTGCTGAACAGCACTGACCTCCCGTGAGGGTTTCCCACTGTGCTCCTCTATCGCCAAGGTAGTTACAGTTTCTCTTTTAAAAACGTGCATATGGGTTATGGGAGCTGTGTCCTCCCCATTCATATACTGAAGTCCTAACCCCTAATAGCTCAGAATGTGACTGGATCTGGGGATAGGGTCTTTAAAGGGGTAGCTAATGTAAATGGGGCATACGGTGGGGCCCTAATCCAGTAGGACTTGTGTCCTTATAAGATGAGGAAGAGACACC